TCAAGCCCACGATCATGAGAGAAGGGTTGAGATACCAATTTATTGTAATCCATTAGCTTACTTTTTTTTAGGTCGATGGGTGAAATTAATCGGTTTTTATATCATTGTAAATCAATCTAGTCATCTCCAATGTACTTTTTTTAACTCTATAATTTGACTTTTATGACAAACCATGTGACTCTATGGACCATCTATTCTTTTCTTTTCTTTTTTTTTTTCCCTTTTTTTTCCCTTTTTTTTAATAGTTTGGACTATTTATTCTATTGTAGGTAATAAATGTTTAAAAAAATGGGATGAATGGTCTGATTTTTACAACAATCTTAAATGGGCAAACTCTTATCTGGTTCAACAAAGGATTGAAAACAACTCTAGTCCAATTATGGGCAATCATTTTTCAAAGAGTCAATTTGATGTTTTTTTTTCTTCTCTAATATATCCCTCGAAGAGATGATTTTATAAAAAGATGATGTCATTATTCATTTTGGTTAAAAAAAAAAAACAAAATTTCTATAATAATCGTCCTAAAATCCATACCAAATAAATAAATAAACAAAGTTAAATAATAASATGAATCCCTAAACTTTAAAAAGTGTTTAAAGCTGGTTAAATTCTCAATTTTATATTTAAATTCTTAAAAAGTAACACATCTATAGTTCTCATTTGATAATGTTGAATAGAATTGCATGGTCCAAACACCTATGGAACAAAAAGACAAAAAAACTCATTCTCGTAGTTTTAAAATTTTTTTATAGAACATTGAGAATCTTTTTAAACAAAATGAAAATCAAGAAATATAAATAGTTGTACATAGTTTGTTCAGAAAATTGAAAATAGTAAAACAAAACTCAGATACTTATTTGACACTTTTAAAAATCTATGAACTCATCGGTCACAGTCTCGAAAGTTAGCAACCAAAATTGTTATTTGACCCGAAAGAAAACCACATTTACATTTTCCAGATAAATTATGTTTTAGTAAAGAAGAAAGAAAAAGATGTAGTATTTAAAAGAAATCCGAGTTTGGTCAAAACTTATAAAGTACATATTATTAATTATTGTGTAGAAGTAACATTCGAATAAGGGAGGCATTATTTTCATTAAACAAGTAAGCTGCAACCCAAAATGAAGCAAACAAAAACATTTAACAAACTCGAACACGTTCATTGAACTCTAGCCATACAAAAATAATATTTATATTTATAACACACATTCATATTTATGCATTTGACCCCATCTCTCTCTCTCTCTTTTTTTTTTAATTAACAATTCTCAACAAAACCCACATCATGTGCATTCAATATTTTCTTAAATATATAATATAAATAGCTATTTTATTCTTTTAATTTTCCAGTTTAAAATTAACGACAATGACATATCATCAAATTATTAATGTCAAATCGGTTATTTTGTGAAAATATATTTCATTAAATATTAAAGGAGTTTTTTCCCCTCCATTTTTCTTGGATCATAATTTGGCTCCAAGAATCTATTTTTAACCCTTCTGTTTTATATTATTATTTTTTTTTTCCTCATCTTTTGTTGAAGATTCAGATTTATGGGGTTTTGTGGCAAAGTTGGTTCATTTCTTAGATGGGATTGTTGGTTCATTGTATCTTTTTCTTGATATTAACTACAAAAATATGTGTTTCTGACTCAGAGGACACATGTTGGAGGGCATCATTTTAAATCATTAATATTATGATTAACAAATCTTGCTGTTTATTTCTTGTATGTATATTATTATGCATGCAATCAATATAGTATTAATTAAATTATTACCCTTGACCAACAAACATTTTGAACTTTTTTCAATATGATTTAATTAATAGCTGGGATTTTATTATTTAATTGGTAAAATGTCCAATTTACATGTGAAACTTCGTGACAGTTTTTTAGTGGCTTTTGAAATTTAAAATTGGAGTCCTTTTTGGTCACAATATATATATATATATATATATTTTCTTTTTTGTTTTGACATTTTTTATCCACACCTTAAAATTATTACTTTTTTAGCAACCCGAAAATTATAACCAAAATTTATAAACTAATCAAAATAGTTACAANAAAAAAAAAAGAAATCGCTAGATTTTTAAGGGAAATTTTTTATTCTAAACTTTTTATAGAAAAGAACTAAAGTACTATAATTGCATTTATTTTTATATCTTATATGAGAGACTACCTCATTGAAATCTGCCTTCGTGGAAGTTATTTTGTAATAATTGACATTTAATTGAACAAAATAATAGAAAAAGTAACATAACTATTAATAAAATTTCAATCTTAAAATTATAATTTTCTTTTTAAATTTCGATATTAATTAATTATATTAATATTTCAAACAGTTATTGACAAATAATAAAGTTAAAAGTAATTAAGAAATGATTTTCAATTCAAATTGGAATACACATATTGTCGAAATATTCCATAAAATTTTAGATGAGAATATTAATATCTTTCTCCGTACACAGGAGCCGTTAAATCGATGTATCTGTCAGAGATGCGAAAAAATGGGAATAAACTATTCCGGAATAGAAATATCTTCTTCTCCAAACGCTCGTAATTCTGTTATGGGCTGGAAGGCCCAGGCTTGGGCGCTACTGGACTGTCCATCGCCGGCCCATTTCATAATGGGCCAATTCCGAAATCTGCAATTTCTTTCTACAGCCCCTAGATTTTAATTATATAAGTTTCTCAAAATCTCTAATATTTAATAACAGTTTTTATTGAACTAAATATTGAGTTGATAATTACTATTAGTTATATTGTTGAACACATTTCACCGTTCAATTTTCAAATCTGTTACCAAACACAAATTCGAAAATAATAATTATACAAAATTTATAAAAAGAATGTTAATAAATTAATTAATATAAATTTAGATTAAACTAAAATTTATTTGTAACTSCTCSTAATTTACAAATATATTACTAAACACGCATTGAACAATGTTTCAAATTGAGATTCAATTATCAAATCCGCTATCAAACATATATCTAAAAATACTAAAAACAAAGAATACAACTCTGGTTTTCCTGTTGTTTTTAAGTTTTTTTGTTTTCTTATTACCAATCAAACACACTCTTAAAATCTCTAATATTTATACTTTTATTTAATACGGACGGGACCCTTCTCATTAATTTGTTACTGATAAATTATTATATATATTATTTCAGTCATCTTTAACTATTTAAAGTTATGATCCACTTTAACCCTTTGTTTTTCATTGAAATTTCCACTTTAAAGTTAATAATTTAATTATTATAATTCATACTATTGAATCTCATTTTTATAATAATAACAACACTATAAACAAATGCAGCTAACCTTTATTAATTTAAAAACATGAGTGAAATATGTAGGTGTTTGTTAAATATAAATATAAGCAAATCGATATAATAAATGATTAGAGTCTTACTTATAGATTAAATAGTGAAACCAGGTTATATTTAACATTAAAGAGATCGCTTTAGTGAAATGACATTTTCACTTCTGATCCATTTCCATTTTCATTCCTAAAAATAAAATGCAAATTAATTTAGTTGATGTCATTTTCCAATGATGGGTTTTTGTAAGTGGGCAATTTTCCACCCCCAATAAAATTTGTCTGTGCCCTTTGGCTTCTTGCCCATTGATAAATTTTGGCCACATTGGACCATTACATTAATTATTTCCCCCCTACTATAATCTTATAAAGAGGGAGTGGATTTAAGAATATAGCTAAGTTTTCTAGCCAAAGTAATAAATAATATATTATTAACAATTTGAAGTATATATATTAGCATTATTATATATATTGTCTTTGTGTCGTCGCAATCCGTGACATATAATCTATGCATTACGACATGTATGGAATTAATCTGTGTCTTGAATCTAAATTAACATTTCTAAAAATTTAAAAACGAGTTTTTAATTAGTTTACGCAAATACTTTCGAGTTTATGGAAAATCTTTCATACTATTTATTTTATTTTGTTTTATTTAGATTTTAGGAATTCAAAATTGTCTTATTTTCCCTATTTGCCTTAGGCCCTTTGTAATTTTGAAGTTAATTGATAAAGTTGAGATTTTAAAAACGCTATATCAAAAAAGCCATCAAATGTGTAATATGTTTTGTAGTGTCACTTCCATGCTTTGCAGTTTTAGTGAGTCCCGAACAAAAATATTTCGCCCAAACAACTTTTACTCACCGTTTGAAAATAAGTACGTCCACAAACTTTTGTTTCTTCTTAGTTTTAATCATTCTGAAAAACAAAAAATATTCATTCTATACAATCTAGTTTGACTCTGTGTTTTAAATTTTTTTATTGCACAAATTCGAGGAAATGAGTCAAACACGTGATAGACATATATATTTAAGATTTAATATCCTTCAAAAAAAAAAAAGTTTTAAGTACAAATAGTGTTTCTTAATCTCAAGTGGTATGTTTTTGCCATGGAAAATATTTGGTTCACGAGGAATCTTGTTACACCACCGTTAAATATTTGACAACTAAGAATGAGAAATGCAAAAAGAAAAAATGTTTTTAAAAAATGATGAGTTTGTCAAAACATTTAATTAAATGTGGTGTGGACAAGATTCTTCCTTGCTAGTGAGAAGCAAGTACTTTTGGTTTGACACCTCTCTCTAGCCAGAAGAAGAGACAACAAAACAATGTTTGTGGCTGTGATTCATTGACTTGTGTTTTGTTTTGAAAGCCAAGCCACCACACCCAGCTGTGAATCATTTATTTCATTTCACATGTTTTTTACTACGAGATCAGAAGCTAAGATATAAAGAGAGAAAAGAGAAAAATTAGGGTTCATAAGGTCGTAAAAGTTGTTTGAAAACACGTAATTTTGATACTCACATGATACTCACAGGAATTAGTACGGCAAAAAAGGGCCTTGGTTGCTGTGGTCCAGTTTCTTCAACCCATGAACCTTAAACTCATCACTTCATGACATAACATAATATATTGTATATTTCCCAGCTTGGCTGTGTAAATAATTAAGTATGAAGAAAATGGCTGGTTCTTCTGGTAGATGGAGATCATCCACAGTGGGGCTGGGGCTGCCTGTTGATTTGAACACATGGAACAGGGTGCTGCTACTGGCTTGTTTGGTGTCCGTCTTTGTGGACCCTTTGTTCTTGTTCGTGGCTGCAGTGAGGGCGGAGGAGGCATGTGTTGAAAGGCGCGATCGAGGGCTCGAGGTGGCGCTCTCGCTACTCCGATCCATGGCCGATGCCTTCTACATAATGCACATTCTGATCAGGTTTAGGTTCAGGTTTACCACGCCTTATCTTCTTCTTCACTTCTGCCTCGACTTTCTAGCTGCATTGCCTCTTCCACAGGTTCATTCTCTTTCATTTTCTTCTCTGTCTCTAAACTTTAAAAAGTGTGCGTCCCTAGCCTCACGAAATTTAAACTTAATTTCAGTTGCGTCTCATTTTAGTAATTTCAATTTTGTATATAATATAGTATAGGTTGTCTCTAATATATAAGTCTGTTTACAATTCAATTATAATTTAAATAACATGGAATAAGTCAGGATTGTAATTAAAATTTCAAAGAGATTGACTGCAACTGCAAAAGTTAAAAGACTAGATAGGAGTTTAATCTCATCAATTTTCAATATATTTGTTCTTTTGGGAAAATTACTTATTGATTTTCCAAGCATAGTTATTTATTGAGTGAAAACTGAATTAAATACACAATAAAAAAAGGTATATTGGTTTGCACAACTATGAACTATATCTAATCTTTCGCTGTGGGTTCTAGTACTAGAATAGGATTGATAGGATTGGTTCTAGTACTATAATATCTCTTACTTTAGAGGCCTCAACAAAAATTATCTAGTTTCTAGGAACTACAACAATACGATCCTAGACTAGGAAACAAAGAATGAAAAACCTCACCGATATTCAAGACCAATTGTCGACGAGGATCTTGAGATACCAACCTCTGCACTACTGCTACAGTTCTGCCGCTGCTCCTCAATTTTCGTGCAACTTCAAAAACCTAAAATCGCAAAAACTACTGTATTCAAATATCGTCACAGCGAAGTGCAACGTTGCGACATTGTGTAGTAGCACTGTGGCGTTGTCTCATCGGCCAAATTGGCCCTATCTTGTTTCATTCTTGCCTCATCCCGATCCATTCCAACTTCGTTTTGGCTACAAAATCCCAACGATTTTAATAGTTGAGTTTTAGACAAACAACTATGTTTATCCTCACCATTATCATTTTGTTGTTAACCTTTAATTAATAGATGGATATAACATGAATTTTGAATATTATTATCTTGTATAATCACATTAACTTGATCCAAGCGATAACAAAACAAAACAAGAGGGGCTGTGTTCAAATTCTTATATATGGTAAGACTGTTCATAATAATTTGTTGTCAGTGATGTTTCAGGCATTCATCTGGGTTGCAATCCCAAACATAATTAGTGGTTCAAACATGAGCCCATGGATTCACGTTGCTGGGTTCTCCATGTTGTTCCAATACCTGTTGAGGCTGTATCTAATCTTCCCTCTCTCAGACCAAATCGTGAAGGCCACTGGAGTTCTCATGAAGACAGCATGGGCTGGAGCTGCCTACAACCTTATGCTCTTTATGCTAGCAAGCCACGTAATTAAATTAAATTCATTTTTCAATCTTAGTTGTCAAACATTTAACGGTGATAAGATAAAGATTCCTCCTTCCTGTCAAGGAGACAAGTATTTTCTTTAATTTAATGCATGATATATTTGTCGTTGTTGTTTAGGTTTTGGGGTCGTGTTGGTACCTGCTATCCATAGGACGACAAGTAGAATGCTGGAAAAAAGTTTGCAATTTGGGGCATTGGGATTATTACTACTACTGCCAATATGAGTTTTTTGACTGTGGGACTGTGGGAAACCCAACCAGAGCTGCTTGGTTCCAAGTGACTAATATCTCTAATCTGTGCCATCCCACAGCCACTGCCTCCTTCCATTTTGGCATCTTTTCTGATTCTTTCTCCTTTCACTCTTCTTCTTCCACCTTCTTCAATAGGTACTTCTATTGTTTTTGGTGGGGCTTGAGGAATTTAAGGTACTTCCTTAATTATATTTTAAAAAGAAAATAACCCCTCACCAAGTTAGCAGCCAAAGGCCCTGGTCGTTAATGTTATCGTTTTTATTTCTCATTTCTAATTTTATTAAGAGAAGAAAAATACATAATAGACTCCTTAACGGTGAAAACCAAATCTTGTCCTCATCGCTATTGAAAATTTGACAATTCATTGTTTTTTTTTAAAAAAAATCAATGTTTTTACATTTTTCTCTCTTAGTTCGTCAAACATTTAATAGTGGTAAGGATAAGTTGCTCCTTACTGTTAGGGAGGAACCAAGTATTTATCTTAAAAGAGACAAGAAATCATATCATTTTTTCAAAGAGATTTTTCTAGAAATTTTGAAAACAATCGAACAAGTTTGTTTATTTATTTTTTATTTTTTGCATCTATATATGTTGGAATCTATGGGATTCTATTTTTATTTATTAAAGTGACTAATATTTTTTTTTTGTCATGGCTATACTAATTACAGAAGGTTTTATTTCCCTTCTAATTTCTTTTCGTTGTCTGCAGCTCTTTGGGGCAAAACTTACTAACAAGTGACAACGTGGGAGAAATAAATTTCGCGATTGTGATAGCAATTGTGGGGTTGGTGCTATTCGCACTTCTTATTGGAAACATGCAAGTAATTAAATCAATTACCTCCATACACTTTCAGTTGATACACATTCAAGATCAATTAGCTACTTTAATTTTTTACTAAAAACTAAAAAGGGGTTGAATTTGGCAGACTTATCTTGAATCCACAACCTTAAGGGTAGAACAATGGAGGGTGAGGAGGCAAGACACAGAGCAGTGGATGCGCCACAGGCAGCTGCCCTATGAACTGAAGCAAAGTGTCAGAAAATACGAGCAATTCCGATGGATCGCAACTCGCGGCGTCGACGAAGAACACATTCTCAAAGCCCTTCCCATGGACCTCCGCCGTGACATCAAGCGCCATCTCTGCCTTGATCTGGTTCGACAGGTACGGTTGGAAATGTCAAAAGAAGGATGCATTTTACGATCGATTTATTCATTTAAGTAAAACAAAGATTAAAAGTGGAAGGAGTATTCAAATCAAAGTAACCGAAATGTCGACCTGTCGCTCGACTTTTAAAATACTGCTGGTAGGTTACTTGTGATTAGGATCTGAAAAATATTTTTGCTCCATGGTTTTTACAGAAAATATGATGAACTCCATTTTCGATTCAATTCTTCTCCAGGGAGTGCATGTCTGAAAAGAAAGTTATGTTGACATTAGGAACGAGTATACGATTTCGTATTATTATCATGTCAAAATTACTTTCAAGACAATAAGTTTGTTCCACAGCACAACAATTCTATTTTCATCTAATTTCTCCTTCCGTTCCGACAGGTGCCGCTTTTTGATGAAATGGAGGAGACAATGTTGGATGCGATATGCGAAAGATTGAGACCCCGTTTGTGGACGTCGAGCACCGGTCTGGTCCGGGAGGGTGACCCGGTGAACGAGATGGTTTT